TCATTCAATGCACATGCATTAGGTGCTCTAGCAGAGGTTGCTGGGCCAGGTTTGAATTCACATATCGGAACTGTTCTCCCAGCATTGATTCTTGCTATGGATGATGAAGATGCGGTGAGATGCATGCTAAACAGAAACATTTTTGCATTCTAAACACCAGCATTTTCTATCTAGGCATCTTACTAATACCTGTAGATTCTGTTGTTCCTACATTTTCTCTCTCTCTCATCTGTAGGATGTACAAAACTCAGCCAGGAAAGCTGCCGAAACTGTTCTGTTGGTTATTGATGAGGAAGGAATGCAAACTTTGATACCTGAGCTTCTAAGAGGAATCAGTGACAGTCAGGTTGTTTAGCATGAGATTTTTTTTAAGAAAATTTAGGAATTTGAATAATATTGGGCCTTTGCTTTTACCCTTTTTTGTTCGTTTCTTAACGTATTATTTGTGTGCAGGCATCAATGAGGCGGGGTTCAGCCTATCTAATTGGTTTCCTCTTTAAAAACACTAAATTATATTTGGCTGATGAGGCTTCTGATATGATGTCAACCCTAATAATTTTGTTGAGTGATACAGACAAGGCTACTGTATCAGTGAGTATTGCTTTCCCTGCAGTATGGTTCCACTTCTCTAGTTCTGAGACTTAATCAACTTACATGATGATGTACAGGCTGCTTTAGAAGCATTTTCAAGAGTTGTTGCAGCTGTTCCAAAGGAACAGCTCCCGACGCATATAAAACTAGTGCGCGATGCTGTCTCTACAGCCAGAGATAAAGAGCGCAGAAGGCGAAAGGTTCTTCTTTGAACTGAACCACTAAAATTTGTGCTATGCATGTGTTGTTGCGTTACTTCCTAGCTCAAAAGAAGGGAAAGTAGCCACTAATTTTTAAGCTCAAATCTTTGAGGTGGCTCCTGTCCTAGATTAAAACTTCTGTTTCCATTTTCAGGGTGTGCCTATTCTTGTGCCTGGCTTATGTCTTCCTAAAGCACTGCAGCCTTTTCTTCCTATATTTCAGCAGGTATTTGTTTGTGAATTTTCATTTATATAATGGTGTACACATTTTAAATTTCGAGTGTAATAAAGTGCAGCACAAGATTAATTTCAGGCATGAGGACATCTGACACATTTCTGTTGAACTTCAGGGTTTAATTAGTGGGTCGGCCGAAACAAAAGAGCAGGCAGCTGAAGGTCTAGGAAAGTTAATTGACATAACAAGCGAGAAGACCCTTAAGGAAGTTGTAGTGCCAATTACAGGGTTTGGGTTTTATCTTCTTGAAATTGCTTCCATTTTGTGATTGCCCTTTTGAATGTTTCACATATGAGGATTTGTGCTGTTTGATTGAGGACAGCCCAACATCATTGCAACCATGAGGCATCCCACCACATGTCCAGCTGACAGCCAAACAGCTCCTTAGCATTTTTATATTCTTTTAAAGCTGGGCTCTAAAATCTTCTTGTTGGCATAAAATGAATGAGTTATAGATTTCATAAGCCTAGTCAATTCACCCATATACTATGTTGGTTATATGTCAGTTATTGGCGCTTTATGTAGTTTGCCTATTGATGATTTCTTGTTTTTGAAATATTCATTTTCTTTTACTCCACCTATCTGCTGCTTCACAATTTGTTCGATTTGGATCATATGTGGGACAAGCTATAAACCATATGTTCATACATGGGGAAATCAGGAGACAATCTATACACTACAAATTGAACGGTATTATGACATTATCGCTGCTAAGCTGTAGCTTTTGCTGTGTTGGCTTCTGTACCTTCTGAGCAACTAGAAGCCAAAAGGTCCAGCTGCTTCCTCAATAGAGTTAATCTTTTTGAGAAGCTGAAGCTTCCCTGAGAATAAAACAGCACTCTAAACATTCTGTGAAATTGCCTGACCTCGTATTTGCTCACATGCTAGGTTGAATGATTTTTTTGGTCTATGCCATGCCGGCATTGTAGCTCTAATCTTTTTTTTGTGTGTGTGTGTATTCATGTGTATGTAGACCTCTTATTCGCATCCTTGGCGATCGATTTCCATGGCAAGTTAAGTCAGCTATCCTATCAACCCTGACAATCATCATCATGAAAGGTGGAATTGCACTCAAGCCCTTCCTTCCACAACTTCAAACTACATTTGTAAAATGTCTACAGGATAACAATAGGTCAGTATTATGTTTTTCTATGTCCTTTTTCAGTTATGCTTTTACCTCCACATGTGAATATGTTTGAACTGCAGGTCTGTCCGGACGAGGGCTGCATCTGCTCTCGGAAAGCTTAGTGCTCTTAGCACACGGGTGGATCCTTTAGTTAGCGATCTTCTGTCCATGTTGCAGGTTGCGCAGATGTTCTGTCTCTTCTTTTGTTATATGTTAGAAATGATGATGATGCAAGTTCAAAAGTAATTATTTTTTTTCTTTTATCCAGTCAGGAGATGAATCTGTCAAAGAAAGTGTGCTTTCTGCGCTTAAAGGTGTTATCAAACATGCCGGTAAAAGTGTCAGCTCTGCAATAAGGTCACGTGGATGTGCTCTTCTTGAAGATCTGCTGCAGGCTGAAGCTGATGATGTCCGCAGCTGTGCTGCAAAAGTGATTGGCACATTGTCTCAGGTAATGATAAATCTTGCATCTTTTGTATCCCTTGTCAATTCTGGATGTAAAAAGCTTGATGATATCGGAAATCATGTTGCGTATTTGTCTAACTAGTGTTTGAGCTGTATGTACCAAAAAGAACTACATTCTGCTAACTCAAAGAAAAGGGCAATATTTCTGAGTATGCAACTTGATACACTGTACTGGAGCAAAATGATTGTGAAATGAGAACTCCAATTGCAATGAGATAATTGATTCTCTTTTCTGAGTTTTTTATTGAAGTAAGAAGTAAGAGGAAATGTTGGAGTGGCAACTGCTAGCTTCCCTAATATGCATTCAAGAACAGATACGCAGGCTATATGGTTTGCAAGTGGTCTGAAAATTGTGTCCAACTTATTTCGCTGCATTGCTCATCAGTCATCAGATTAACAATTGTTCTTTCTTCATTCAAGGACTGATGAGTAATGCAGCGAACTAACACAAACTGGCATAATACATGATAGTCTGCAACAATTGAGCATAAAATTGATAAAAAAGAAGAGCATCGTTTTCAAGGAATTTCATGTTGGCCAGTGTAATTAATGCATTAACTTGCCTTTGTTTGATCTGAGGTGATCCACTCTTTCACACATTTCTTAGTCTCTTCTTACTATAATTGGTTGCGTTTATTGACTGTAATATCCATGCTTTCTTTACAGTACATGGAGGAGACAGAGATTTCAGATTTGGTGCAAATCCTATTGAACATGAGCACCTCATCAGACTGGTGTACCAGACATGGTGCTTTGTTAGCATTCTCGTCAATATCAATGCATTCTCCATCAAAGTTGTGTCATTTGGCATCCTTTCCATCTCTGGTTGATCTTCTGAAAGATTCTCTTAAAGATGACAAGGTATTGATTGGATCAAGTTGCGTGCCTCATCTGTTTGTAATTATCGTTGTGGTGTTTGTAACTCTTGTCTGTGCTGTGTGAAGTTCCCTGTTCGTGAAGTTGCTACAAGAACTCTGGGAAGGATACTTTGTTTTGAGCTACAGTCAGAAGCCGGCACCTTGCAACTTGTTCAGTTGCTTGTCTTGGCCTTGCGTGATGATTCAAGTGAAGTTAGGAGAAGATCGTTGTCGTGTATCAAAGCTGCTGCAAAGGTTTATCATTGGAGCCTCTTTATCTCAACGTACGTGGTACCTTTATTCTTGGTGACATTGTGGTAATTTATTGGTTCCTTCTTGTAGATAAATCATTCAGCTCTTGCTTCACATCAATCCATATTGGGCCCGGCAATTGCTGATGCTTTGAAGGACTCTAGCATGCCTGTACGTCTAGCAGCGGAACGCTGCGTCCTTCATGTTTTCCAGTTGACTAAAGGTACTTCCATTTCTTGTTCTTTGTTTCCTACTGCTACTATATCGTATCATTCCTTATCAAGCGCTGTTTTCTTTGTAATGAGCTTTATGGTGAACTTTTGGTAAGATTATTGTAAAGTTGATAGATACTGCGCACTTGGTTGTCTGATAGGAACTGTTTAACGTTACTGCCTCCATTTCCAGGGCCAGATAATGTTACAGCAGCGCAAAAGTACCTAGGCATGACTGGCTTGGAAGTGAAGAAAATCTCAAAGCTTAACGAGGAGAGGTATGTGTAATAAGCTTGTTACCACTATGCTGTCATGTTTCATCGAGTTGGATCGACAATTACAATTTTCTGTTCCTGTTTCCCCCTTCAGTGATGGCAGTGAGAACAGTGATGATGACAAGAGGACATAAACTCTACTCACAGCAATCTTTTATCGGTTCAGTTGTTATGATCTTTACATATAGTTGGCTACATTGATAGTGGAAGGTGGGGTCATTTTTCTGTCTGACCCATTTTGTGAACATCCTTTTTTTTTACAACAAATAGCGGCAGAGGAAGACACGTCGGCATTTGTCATATTTTGACCTCGCGTTCGCTTGGAGGAATCTGGTGTGAAGGAATCATTCTTGAACAGTAAAATTCAGCCAGGAACAGTACTTCCTCGTACCAACTGAACGCAGCCTTTGGTGCGGCAAACCGACAACGTTTACGCAAACCGACAAATAGTGTTGAAGTAATTCAATCAAAGAATTTTCTCTACCCAGTTTTTCCCAGAGTTCGGACCTGGGACTTATATTCACCTCATTTTGAATGGACAAATTTCGAGGACACAACAGTCATATTGCAATGAAGGACTCGTTCGTTAGTTTGAGCACGACACCGCTCTCAGTTTTTATGATAAAGCACGTCAATGTAATCCACACATATATCACATCAATATATCATATCGTCGAGCATTGTTCCAACCATCCACTCCATCCGCTTCCTCTGACTTGTACACCACCGTCGGACCCCACTCCCGCCTGAACTGCAGCCGAGCCACTACGGCTCGACGACGGCGCCCTCAGATACTACGCCGCAATGATGCGGTACCTGGTGCTGGAGTCCACGAATAGACTGCTCCGAGCGCGTCGTTGCGGATGCCGACCCCGAGCGCCGCTGCCGAGCCCTGCAGGTACACGCCACGGTACGCGTAGCTCGCGTGCCCGTTTCTGGACGAGTACACCACGGGCCGGTCGCCGTCGACGTACTCCAGCGCGGAGGTGTCCACCCAGTGCTCGCCCCTGTGCTGCGAGTAGTACACGCCCATGAGCTCACCGGTGAGGTTCCAGACGCGGAACGTGAAGTGCTCCCAGTCCCCGACGTGCCGCCCGGTCTTGCCCAGTTCTTGAGCCTCGCCGGGCCGTTGAACGGGCAGAACACCCACATGGCCACGTCGGTGCACGTGACGCCCATGGCCGGCTTCACGTGCGCGTAGAGTTCCGCGCTGTCGATGCTGCCGCGGCCCCGCTCGCCGCTGGGAACGTCGATCCAGTACTCCCCGTCGTTGCAACCGCCGCCAGGGAGGTTGGACCCCTCGCCGTCGATCTCCTCGCACCCGCGGTGTCTCCCCCTCGCTTGTACAATGCGGCTCCGTTCTTGAAGAACCAGGAGACGGACGACGGCAGGTAGACCTCCTTGGGCTGGAAGAACAACGTGGGGCCATACTGCCGGATCACCTCGTGCGCATGCTCCAGCGTCGGCATCGCCTGTAGTCTCTCGCTCGTCGCGCCCGTCGCCGGAGATGAGGAAGATGACTCAGAACACAAGGGAATTTTGGTACCGCTAACGGCGCAGCTTTACTAACTAAATTAGCAGCACCTACTGGCTGTGAGGTTGGCCCACGTGGCACATGTGTGGCTATGGTTTGTGTGTTTAGTATCATCTTGCAAGTTTATGAGATTGAGGGCCAACTTATAATCTTTGTCGTTTTAAACGTAGCACCTTCGAATTAACCATTTTACACGAAACGAGGACGAAAAATATTTAGCAGGGCTCCTCTGGAGGAGCCGGAGTAGTTTCACCGGCTACTCTTACGAAACGTTTGGTAGGACTCCTCCGGAGGAGCTAGAGCCTCGGAGGAGCTCTACTAAACAGGGCCTAAGCGAGTGGCAAGATTTTGTGAATAGAATATTGACCTCTTATCCCTGTTTTGCCTCTCCCAGAAAGGAAAACCCACATGTCTACTGCCTTTCTAGCCAATCGCCTGCTCTGATTCTAGTGGGACCCATCTTCTAGTGTCACAGCGCGCCTACGTGTGATCCTCCACGTTACACAACTGCGGCCGCCTTGGTCCCACTAGTTGAAAGCCCTATGTTTAGTTTTGGTTAATTGAGACAACCAAGTGGACTAACCCTATACTCTAAGTGTGTTTATAAGATAGGTTGGTACAAGTACGAGAAGGAGCATGGATGGCACTCGAGGTGATGGAGATGGCCACATGATGATGATTAAGTGCTCCAACTTTGAAAAAGAAAAAAGAGAAAAACAAAATCATATGGACTAAAGGCAAAGGTATAAATAGGAATTTCGTTTTGCCATTCAAAACATAATAAAGTGCGTGATTGGATTTATGATAGATGGCCATACTATTAAGAGGGTAGCTCTAATTAGATAATTTTTCATCTAGTGCCACTAGGTATTTGAATTAAGTGCATTGCATTTAGGACCTAGTGAGACACTCGGAGAGCAAGCGAAAACGTTTATGAAAAATAATTTGAAAAGGCTAACTTGGCTCTAACATGTTTGTGAAAATTTTGAGAGTTAGCCCATTTGAAAGAGGTCGCTTGGGTGCTCTCGGTGCAGCAGTTTTGCATGCACCGGACTGCACACCGGATGTGTTACACCGAATACGGCAGCAGGGTTTTCGCACTGCACTCAGTTTTAGCTAGAGCACCATGCACTCCCGTGTGCACCAAAGAGGATGCAAACCTGCTCTTTCTCGTGTAACACTCACCGGACGTGTCCGGTGTGGCACCGGATGCCACACCAAATAGGGCATACAGAGAGCATGTTTTCGGGGCTCAAAACGCTAACACGCACCGGACATATCCGGTGGTCGCACCGGAGCTCTGACATGCGCCAATGGTTGACTTTTCGAACATTGAACTCATCGTTGAGTGAGCAAGGCATCTGGTGCCCCCTTAGGCATCCGATGCACCCGCAGCCAGCCCACCAAGAGGGTAGCGGTTGGATTCTCAAGTGAGGCTATAAATAGATGGTGTGGCCGGCCTTGGCCACTCTATTGGCACCCCATATACTTGTGCACACCTTTTGAGGGATGAGAAACACACTCCACTCACTTGCACCTTGATTTGATCATCTTGAGTGAGATTGGAGAGCTCCTAATGCTTGGCATTTAGTTCTTACATCTTGTCGCACTAAGTGAGCGGATTGGGCTAGTTGATCTTTTGTTACTCTTAGTGTTTACCGACACCTAGATGGCCCGGTGGTTGTGGAGATCGTTGAGTGGCTTTGGTGATTGTTGCTGGCTCTGATCAATCGATTGTGAGGGGTTCTTGTGCCTATTCCCTGCGGGATATTCGCGAAAGGCAACTCTAATGGAATCGTGGCTTTGTGGAGTGCTCTCTTTTTTTGCGGAATTTTGTGGAGTGCTCTCTAGTTGAAAGGATCTAGCAAGTGGCCTAGAGGGAGTGGGTGAATATGCCTTGTTCTGAAATTGGACAAACTTCAAGCTAACTATCAGACTGTGGAACCTCCGGGAACTGATGTGGAGGTTTTGGGCCGTGGAGCCTCCGAGCAGAAGCACGGAGCCTCTAGGATCAGAGTACAAATTCGATCTACTGCGGAATATAACGAATGAAAATCAGATCGAATGTGATACCAGCCTTCCTGGGGAGTATGTTGACCCTTCGTAACCAGTGGTTGCACCTAGTTGTTGGGGAACTCATAGATTGTTGGTATTTCTTACGTCACGAATAAATTCGCAAGCGTACGGATACCGCTGTAGGTTTTACCCGAGAGTATTCAAGGGTATCGAATCCATAGGGAACGTGTGCACTCTTCGAGCTGGTTCATCCAAGGACAACACAAGGATAAAATTGGCAAGGGTAGAGAAGGATTCCTATGGCTTTAGGGTCTATGGTAAAGATAAACTCTACTTTTACTTGCTTACTTTGGACACCGGATAGCACCTAGTCTAGCAAGTGATCCTAGCTTGTAGCTCTATGCCAAACCCGAATGTGGGGGATTACAAGGGACAGACAGGGCTGTCGCCACCTTCTGCCTAAGCCCTTGGAGTGGTGCTCTTATTCTTCCTTGGTATGTTGTTGTGAGTGAGGGGGGCTCCTCCTTCTTATATAGTGCTCCCATAGGCAGTTCCAGGGGAATATTCCCCGGATACACCCCCGCACCACCCTCCAAGAGTAATGAAGAGTGAAAGGTCCTCATTTGGTTTTGGTAATTGCGTGACAACCTAGGTGGACTAATATGTGTTTATGTAAGATACACAGATGATTAGTCCATAGGTACACCTATGTGAGACATGACATGGAGTCATGTGATCAAGGTGGAGAAGATCAAGACATGACTTGACTCGATGGACTGGTTACAAGTATGAAGGGCAAGTTGAGTGATGACTTGGCACCGATGGACCGAAGCAACGGTGAAGAGCAAGTGAAGTAAAGATCGATGAACCAATATAGTCACGTGATGATATGAAGTGGATCATATCATTGTCCATCATGTTGGTGCATGTGTTGCATCAATATCGGAGGAGTTGGAATGGAATGCGCAAGGCAAAGGTATAACCTAGGGCATTTCATTTCATCGGTCATGGGTGTGTAGAGAAGTTGATGACCGGGTTTAAGATAAATGGCCGTACTATCAAGAGGGGCAAACTTGTTTGCATATCGGTTATCTAGTGTCACTCGAGTGATCTAACTTTGCTTCGTTGCTAGGATCGAGTGACGTGGCAAGTTGAGTGGCTAACTCCTTAAAAATATTTGTGAAAAGCTAACACACATCCACATGGTGGTGTACAATGGGTGGTGTTGGCACATTTACAAAGGAGAAGAAGTTGGAGTTGAAACAGATCAACTCGACAAAGAAACATGGCAAAACAAGTCACTGGAGGTGACCGGACACAGGTCTTGGCTGGACCTGCCCGTCCGGTCATGCTCTATAGTGAAGGCGCAGGCATCAGTCTTCGACCAGACGCTGGGCGAAGTAGTGACCTGACGCGCAGGGGGCGCGTTCGGTCATCTCTGACGTACGCTGACATTATGGTGCAGGAGTAGCATTGACACGTGGTAGACAGTGAAGGACCGGACTCAGGTGCTACGTCCGATCGTGACTCACCTGACGCGTCCGATCACAAAACAGAGGCTCAGGGAGCTCTCTGGAAATGACCGAACTTTGGCAGCGGTGCGTCCGGTCATCATTTCAGTGGCGAGCGTGAGCACAGGACCTGACGTAGCGTGGGTGTGTCTGGTCAGCGTCTGGCGCGTCTAGTCTTCACTTGACCATTGGTGTGGTGTCAGTGATCATTGATATCGGGTGGCTCTGGTTGAACGATGGATGACACGCGGACGGTGTATAGCGACCGGACACAGGACCGGTGCGTCCGGTCACTCTAACCGGCGCGTCTGGTCGCCTCGAATTGTGCCCAGTGAAGGGGTAATAGCTAGTTTAGCCCATGGGGCTATAAATAGAAGTGTTGATCGGCCTTTGGCTGGTCGCTGAGCACCCTTGAGCCTTGGTGGCTTGCGTAGGTGTGCTTGGAAGCCCTCTAACTCACTCTTGCTTGATAGTGTTCATCCAATTGAGTGAGTGAGCGATTCTAGTGCGATTGCATCATAAGGTTACATCGAGTGGCACTAGGTGATCGTGTTGCAAGCCGGTGGTGCTTGTTACTCTTGGAGATTGCCACCTCCTAGATGACTTGGTGGCTTGTGACTCCGTTGAAGCACGCGAGAAGATTGTGTGGTGCTCTGGAGGAGGATTTGTGAGGGGGATTGTGCTCACCCACGGGGATCACGAAGAGCAACTCTAGTTAAGCGTGTCATTGAGCTATCCTCACTTTCGAGATAGGTTCTTGCGGTGCCCGATGTGTGGGCTTGGCGGGTGATGCCAATTAGCCGCCGAACCACCAAGTGAGAGGTCGACACAACGGGGACATAGCTTGGTGGCAACCAAGTGAACCTCGGGAGAAAATCACCATGTCAACATTGTCTTCATCATCTTCTCATTGGTTTTCTTTCCGTGAAACACAAGCTTGTATTACTTTTATTTATATTGTGCTTGTGTAGGTGCTCTTGTGACTAGTTTAGTTTTAATAGATTGCTAGTTGCCTTCTTGCTTATGTAGCATAGAAGTAGCTTCCTTGCATGTCTAATTTGGTTTTAGTAACCTTATTAGTCACATTGCTTAGTTTGTGTAGCTAAGTAATTTATGCTCTCTATTTTGGCTTGTGTAGCCTTGTTATTGATCATTGCTAGTGAGTTTAGGTGCTTTTGTGCTTTTGCATCACTAGATATGTAGGAGCTCCCCCGATTGTGTGAAGTACTAATGCATAGGTTTGTGTGACCTCGCTCTAGAATTGATTAGGTGAGTTCTAGCTAGCCCAACACCTTAGTTACTTGATTAGGATCTTTTTAAGGTGCTTGTGAACTTAGAGGGGTGTAGTCTTGGCTAGACCAATTGTTTTAATTCCGTATTTGTTTCTATTAGCCAACATGATTAAATT